AAGGTATTTACCTATATTTCCCTAATAAAACTGAACTGAACTGAACTGAAAATGAACCGGTTTTGTGACGAGGAATCAACACCATGCAAGCTTCCAAACACTGTGTTTCCTGTTTTCCTCTCAGTTCATTTGGATCAACCTGGACGGTGACTTTAAGTTAGTTTTTATCCACCTTTGATTCTGGCCGACCGTGCAGATCATTTGTGAGGCCAAAGTTGCCATAACAACATCTCGTAAAGGAATTGGATACGGCCTCATGCGTTTTAATGGAAGAGTAAAATACAGCATAAAAGTTTGACGCTGTATATTCACATAATAACTCATGCCTAATATTTGCGTGAATTTCGGACTTTCGTGTCTTTAAAGATTAATAATACTAAAAAAAACAATTCTCACATCTAAATGCGCAAAATGATTTAGAAAAAAGGAAATATGTGGCAAATGAGGTCAAAATGAAATAATAAAGTGAAATAAGATGCTGCCTAAATTGATCATAGGCCTAAATACAAATGCAATACAGCCTACAGTTCTCTGAGAATCCCCGGGACTGCGTCCAATCCCCGGTACGTCAGTCATCTATTTCATTTCCAACTCCGCATGTTTGAACGTGTAATACACTGAATTTGATATTTATCCAAACCCATTTGTTTTTGCTCTCCTAATTTCAGCTTGCTCCTTACGAAGTTGTTATATAAAATGCCCTTGTATAATAAAGAATTCAAGAGGAAAAGGATGTGTTTCGGCAATATACAGCCATCGATGTTTACGGTAATAACACTAGTTGTGCGTCTTGTTGCTGGATACGAAATGAACCATAACTTTCTCCGCGTTGCATGCACAGGGGAGCATTTTCAATTTCAAAAGGCATTATATTTGTCTTGCTTAGATTTTAGAATTCTGTAGACTTTATTTTCACGTAGTTTGCAAGATGAAACTACAGTTCATAATTAACTCTCCAAAAGACATAAAGGACCCGTGAAAGTTGACTCAGCGCAACTCAAAAACTGTTTCGCAGCGCTTTGTCACTTAAGCATTTTGCCATGCCAACGAATGCTGTAGAGAGAGGGGGTAAGATCTCTGTGCGTTGGCCCTTGCCCCAGTCCTAGAAACAGTCTCTCTCTCCCTCTCGTGTCTACGCAATCCATTCATTGGTCATCAGAAGAGCACCAGTCATTCATGTGGCAAATGGTGCAGAGAAGAGAGCTGAGTTTTAATGTAGTTGCGCATTTTCCAATCAAGGTTGTGATTTCCTTGGTTAATGTAGAATCCCGTAACATATATATCACAGCACGGAGCACAAAAAGAGCACACGAGATACCGCTGTTGTAATACACGAAAACAATGCACCACCTCAGACTCTTTGCTGGGGTGCTTCTTCTCTTGGCGCTTTCGGCCGAAAAAAGTGATGCTTATAAGAAGTATTCCCTAAAGAACATGGCGCAGCCCCTCCAAGTGCCAGACGTGGCAAACAACAAACCAAAAGACCAGGCCGGAATAAAAGAGGATGTAAAGAACGACGAAGAAGGTGGCCCAGAAAAAGAACAAAAACCTGAAACAGAGGCCGCTGCCCTCGAGAAAAAAAAGGAAGAAGAAGGAGAGAAACCCGCTAAGGGTGAGGCCGAGAAGGAAGAAGAGAAACCCGCTGAGGGTGAGGCCGAGAAGGAAGAAGGGAAACCCGCTGAGGGTGAGGCCAAGAAGGAAGAAGTGAAACCCGCTGAGGGTGAGGCCAAGAAGGAAGAAGAGAAACCCGAGGCTGAGGGCGAAGGCGA